AATGCCGAAAGCCCGTTTCGGGCCGGTGGCGACAGCAGTCGCCTCCAACCATTGGCATCTTACTCAACTAGATGTCAACAATGCCTTTCTAAATGGAACTCTAGCTAAAGAAATATACATGCAGATTCGTCTAGGATATTCTACCTCAAACATAAAAACAACAACAACTCCTCTGGTTTGCAAACTCAATAAGTCTATCTATGGTCTCAAACAAGCATCCAGAAGTTGGTTTAACATGTTCTACAACACACTCATTTCACATGGCTACACACAATCCAAGTATGATTACACTCTCTTCACAAAAGGTTTGGAGGCTACATTCATAGCAGTTTTAGTATACGTAGATGATATTGTGCTTGGTAGTCCAAGTTCAAATATGATCAATGTGGCCAAAACTATGTTACAACGGCAATTTAAGTTAAAAGACTTAGGAGACCTCAAATTTTTCCTAGGCTTGGAACTCTTAAAATCAAGAGAAGGTATTTACTTATGTCAAAGACATTATACTCTAGCCATTCTTGAAGACTGTGGTATGCTTGCTTGCAAACCTTATGTTGTTCCAATGGAAGAAAATCTCAAGCTTCATATAGAATCAGGAACCAAACTTCCAAATCCAGGCATATACAAAAGGCTTATTAGGAGATTATTGTATCTAACAATATCTCAGCCAAATATCTGCTATGTTGTCCACAAGATGAGTCAATTTGTGTCTAATCCTCGCTCATATCATATGAATGCAGTAAACGTGTTACTCAAATATCTTAAAAATACTACGGGACAAGGTATTCTATTTAAGGCCAATTCTGACACAAGATTACATGCTTATGTTGATGTAGATTGGGGTTCCTGCATTGATAGTAGAAGGTCAACAACATGCTTCTACATTTTCCTAGGCAATTCATTAGTTTCATGGAAAACTAAACGATAAAAAACTGTGAGTCATTCCTCTGCTGAGGTTGAGTACAAGTCCCTTGCTTCTGTGGCAAGTGAACTCATTTGGCTAAAAAATCTCTTAACTGACTTCCAAATTAGTACAACACATGCAACAATTTATTGTGACAACAAAGCCGTAATTCACATAGCTTCTAATCCAACTTTTCACGAAAGAACAAAACATTTTGAAATTGATCTACATTTCATGCGAGAACAAATCTCAAGAGGAATACTGAAGCTGTTTCATGTTAGAAAGTTTCATCAACTTGCATTTGTGTTTACAAAATCCCTGCCAAGAAATGTTTTTCTAAGCATTTTGTCCAAGATGGGTGTTGACAACATCTTCCTCCCATCTTGAAGGGGGTATTAGATTAGTTATTTAAGTCAGTTATTTTTAGTTAGTTATTTTTTAAATACTAGATATGTAGTTTGTTACTCGAGACACATAGGGTACATATATCTACGAGTGTTCAAAAAATTATATTAAACTAAACTATTGTAAAAGCTAAACTAAACTAAACTATAAAAAGCTAAACTAATTTTTATAAAAACTAAACTAAACTATATTTGAAGTTTAGTTTAAAAAACTAAACTATTATAAAAAAGTAGTTTAGTGCACTTTAACTATTAAAAAAAACTTATAATTAGGAAATGTTCTAAATAATTAATTAGAATTAAACTAATAAATAATTAAATTGAATTAAAATAGAAAAAACTAAATTATTTTTATAAAAATTGAACTAAAATGAATTTTATGTTCAGTTTTATAAATCTAAAACTATTTTCTAAAGAGTAGTTTATTAGACCAAACTATTAATAAACCTAAATTCTTATTATTAATACCTTTTTCGTAGCTTTTCAATTTTGTCTCACTACTACAAAATGCATATTTTACATCGGTTCTTTAAAGTCATCTACATCGGTTCTAAAACCGATGTAGAATAGAGAGACGTAGAAAATGAGCACATTTTTACATCGGTTCTGAAAAACCGATGTAGATTTAAGCATAAATCTACATCGGTTCTCTGGAGAACCGATGTAGATTTAGGCTTAAATTTACATCGGTTCTTCAGAGAACCGATGTAGATTGTTTTTTTTTTATAAAAAAAAAATCATGCTTATTTTTGGATTATTTCTGATTACCTGTAATTAAATACAAATGTATGCACTAGACTAGAGCCTATGTTAATGTTTATAAGCAAAAGTATTTGATCATGAAGAGAAGCCACAGCCAAGTTACCTACATATGATGCCAAGAATGTTACAACCCTTAGATATACCTGAATGGAAATGGGACAGCATAGCAATGGATTTTGTAGTTGGTTTACCACGAACAATTCATAAGTTTGATTCCATATGGGTTATCGTGGATAGGCTGACAAAATCTGCTCACTTCCTACCCATTAACATATAAAACTTGAATCATTCAAAAGAATTCAATGTTAAGTGAGGTAGTAAATTTTCATTTCAGGTAATAGATTACTGAAACTTAGTATTTGAATTGAAACTTGTAGTTATCACTATTTTAATTGATTACCATCTATGGTAATAAATTACCATGATGACTTTTGAGTGAAACAAGTGTTTTTAGTATCGGGTTATTTAATTCCCCATTCTAGTAATTGATTACCTCTGTACAAATTGAGTTTTATGCTTACTAAGAAGCACAGATTAATTAATTACCATGTTTGGTAATCGATTATGCCTATGCTAATATCAATGTTGTTTCCGTTTTAAAAATCCAGTAATAGATTACCTTCATAGGTAAATAGATTACAACAGTTACAAAAAAATTTAAATGCTAAAATCCTTTTTGCACTACAAATATAACTCTTTTCAAAAAAATTTTAAAAAAAGATCATATAATACTTTGAAAAATGTTTTAGAACAAGATAAAATCAAAAACTTTTCAAAAAGAATGTAAAGGCTAAAGATTGATTGAAGAAGATGAGTTCTTGAAAGATTTCAAGGATTTTTTTGAGCTAATCTCTGTACAAGATCATTCTACACATATCATGTGTATTCTCTCTTATCTTAAATCGTTGTTTGTGCTTTTGGTCTATGTTACTCTTTGAGATAGGGTGTCTCTAGAAGAGTTAAGAGAAATCTTGAGACTAGTTTTTTTTCAAGTAAGTTCTTGTGAGGTGTAGGAATCTTTGTTTGTGACATTTAGTATAAAGTTATACGTAATCTTGTAACTGATTTTATCACTACTACAAAATGCATATTTTACATCGATTCTTTAAAGTCATCTACATTGGTTCTAAAACCGATGTAGAATACAGCGACGTAGAAAATGAGCACATTTTTACATCGGTTCTGAAAAACCGATGTAGAATAGAGCGACGTAGAGAATGAGCACATTTTTACATCGGTTCTAAAAATAGTAGTGCAATTGCGTCAATTAAAATAGCAGTGCAATTTTAAGGCCAGTTTGGATAAACACCATGGTAGGCAATTATAGAAAAAGAAAATAAAGTAAACTAAGGAGACAAAATTCATCAAACTTCTTGCAGAAGTTAAAATCAACCTATACAGGTAAATTTTTTTAAAAGTTCCTTTGTCTAACTTGACTTAAAATCATGAACCATTAAAAAGCTCTCCCAAGTTAGACATGAACCTAAACTTTAGCCCTAGTGATTAATAGTTGATTTTGGCATTTTTTTAGTTTGTTGCGCTAGGCAAAATCAGGCCAGCTGTACTAGGTCAGGCCAAAATAAGTTTTTGTGTCAATTTTGTTAGCCCCAAAACAAGCTCATTTCATTGTTCTTTTTGTG